TGCCTAAGCGGTGTTAGCGAACCGCTACAACAAAGATCGTTATTGCGTCATGATAACCGACTATTTGATGCCTGAAATTGAAGCTCGTGCACTCGGTGACATTTGGTTTCAAGAAGACGGCGTCACTTCCCACACATCGCATCAATGAATGAATTTATTGACGGAATATTACAATGAACAAATAATTTTACGTTTTCGGTCAGTCGATTAGGCACCAAGATCGTGTGATATCACAGCGTTAGACTTTATTCCAGTGGGGATATTCTAAAGTCTAAAATCTATGCGGGCGATCCCGCTTCGATTCGGCGGTTACCAGTCGAAATGCTCGAACGAGTCATCGAAAATTGTACTCAACGGATGGACCCTCTGAGACGTAGCCGCGGCCAACATTCAAAATATATAATCTTCAAAAAATAAATACCATAGAATGATCTTTCGAATGATAATAAAACATTTCACAATATGTTCGAGTTTTCTGTGTTTGTTTCCTTAAAAAAATAGGAAACCTCGAAAGGGAAGCAAATGACTCATGCCAACAATATTCTAACAAGTTAGAAATTGCATTGTCTATATCCAGTTCACGAGCTTAGGTAGGAGTTTCTACCGATAAAAGCACATGGCTTTAATTAACTCATTGACTCATGACGCCAAAAGCTCCCAGAGCACTAGATCTCGCTTTCCAAACACTTTAATTCTTTGATGAATCTCATAGGGTCAATTACCTTGAAGTCAGCTACCAATATTAGATTGTCTGAAAGAAAAAATTATGCAGAAATTTGGGAACCCAACACTGCACAAAGCAGGCAGTCTTCCTCAACATCAGTTATAAAGTTCTTGAAGCAACTCTTATGAAGAGGTCCCGTCCTGTGGACATGAAGAGGACATTTTCTCTTTTAAGTAGTAAATTTATGATTATTTGCGATCACATTACAGCCAGCTTGAATCTAGACGAAGATTCTTTTTAAACCTGAACGTGATCTGCTCATAGAGCTATACCTTTTCGTGTGACAAAAGTTTTGCTATAGCGCTCTTTGTAAAGAAGAATCTACTCGATCGTGCCATGTCTAGCAAGTTGCGCCGCAAATCAGACGTATGTGAATGAAAATTTGCCCTCTTCGGCCTTCATTTTCATAGATTGGTGGTAGTCTAGCAGACTTTTTAAGCTTTCTGCCTGACTGTCCTTATTCAATTACGTTTGATGTTGGTTTTAACTTTCTTTGCCGCCTCTATGTGAGCAGTGATTTCCTCCTCAAAAACACTGAAGTGTATAAAAAAGGCGTTGGATGCTCTTTTTCGCTTATTTTTCCACAGTTTTAATATGAATTCGGTTTTTATAAGTCCATTCTTCAAAACTCATTACTCTAAGTCAATGATTTGCCAACCGTACGGTTTGAACCACATCTGCGTTACTGAAGAAAAAAATTAAATAAAAAATACATAAAAATTTTATGTTAAGTCTTGTTTGTTATTTTCAATTTCAGTGAAATATTTTTAAGCGGAATTTTCAAATGCTTATCATCTATCCTTCATGTTTTTTTTATTATTTATTTTTCTTTGTTATTATCACAGTAAATTCCTAAGTATGCCACAGTCATATGTGTTGTGTTAGGCAGATGAAGATGACATCATCCGTGGCTAAGCATATGGCTCACATTATATATAATAAAGTATGTATATGCATAAACAATGTAAACAAAATAATTTATGCTAGATGTGTGCCACGGAAAGAGAGACTAATGGCATAGCATCAAATTAATAAAACAGGTTTATATAATTGGCTCTTTGTAACCGCTGAAGCAATTTTCGGCCGAGCTTCTCCTCCAATTTGTGGTTTTGCGTCTTGATGTTTTTCCAACAAATGAAGGGACCTACAGTTTATACTAAGCCGCCTCCGAACGGCTGATGATTTTTTACGAGGAACCTTTATTTCATGTCCGAAATACACTCAGAGGGGTCTGACATTCCCTGCTGAGGAGCGACCGCAATTAAAATATTTAGCTTAGTTTTTTATTTAAAATTATTTTCTATAACTTTGTGGATGTTGGTCGCACGGGGATGTGAGCCCGAGCCTTCCGAATTTCAGTACGCAATGCTAACCACTCGGCTACCGCGGCCGCCATAGCACAGGTGGATGATGGAAAAATTTCAATTTGCGGTTAAAAATTTAAATGGAAAATTAAATCGAAGAAATTTTTCTATGTCAGAAAGTAACACATAGTTGACTTTTCAGTCCTAGCTTAGCAAAGAAAAAGTTCTTGTTTTGCTCGGAATTGGCAGCGCCGCTCTAACATTTCAATTCAACAAAATTGCCTCACAAAGCGCGTCAGTTTTCCTCTTCGTTCCCGCGATGCTTATAATCGATGAGACTTTTTTGAGGTCTGCGAATATCCAGTATTCGCTTGAAGCCAACTAAGAACTGTGTAGCAGCCATTAATAGCATGAGAAGAAGTTACCTCTACCCCAATATGTCTGAGTTAAGTATAGCCGCGAAACATTTACTCCTGTGTAAGCTGACTCAAAAAGCTCCGGAAGGACCTCTCCGAAGGGTACGATACCAAACGAATGTTTCAGACAAGGTCACACGGGGTGACTTCTTTAATCTTTTGCTAGAGAAACTAAAAAAAAACCTGCAGAGCTGCATAAGAAAAGTGCAACATTGTTGTTGTTACAGCAGTTCACTAACCCAGCTTAGGAGCAGCCAAGATCAATCTAAGTCATCAAGGTCATCTTATGGGAGGTCCAGGAAACAAGCTGTTGCGAGGTTTTCGAACCAGAGCGCGAGTAATGTAAGTTGGTTTCATTTTAGGGGGCATGCAAAGAAGTGACAAGCGTCATGTGGTGATTCATTGCATGCATGACTTACGTTGGGTATTTCGGGGTCAAGTCTGGAATGGCAGGAGTTTAGTCCAGTCTAATAGCCAAATGTGTTGACTAAATCTCGTTGCATGACGCTTATTGCCGGTCGGTAAGCCGTCCAGCGGTTGTTGGAAGTGGTGCTGAATGCAGTCCTCATGCAGTCGAGTGCAATCTTTCTGATATGCTCAGGTGGTGAGTTTCACGACAGCCGGTGCTACGTACCGGAGTTGAGCCGGTTTTTAACCAGCCAAAGGCTGTTACCCTTTCGGTGATCTAACCACGCTTATGTCAACAGGTATCAGATTAGGTACAGTCTTCTATATGATTGCCCAACTCTTTGAGTACGCCGAAGATATTGATATCACTAGCGTCAACAAACGTGCCGTGATTTCAACTTTCCCCAGATTTGATAAGGAAGCGAAGGATATGGGTCTGGTAGTGAACGAGGGCGAAACGAAACATTTTCTATCATCAAACAAACAGTCAACGCACTTGCGACTCGGCTTCCAAGTCACTGTTGACAATCACAACTTCGAGGTCGTAGATAATTTCGTCTATCTAGGAACCAGCATCAACACCGTTAATAATAGCAGTCTGGAAATCCAACGCAGAATCACTCTTGCCAACAGACGACTGAATGGGCAATAATTCTCGATTGCTCCTTTTTCAACGAACGAAGACCAAACTCTTCAAGTCGATCATAGTTTCCGTACTGAGTTAATGTGTGGAGGCATCTACGAAGAAAACATTTGCTGTTCGCCCACTGAACTTAGGAGCCTTAAGGAAAATATTTTACGTAAGATGAACTATTAATTTGTGATTATGGAACGGCGAATTGGGCAGTCGATGGAACATTGAGCTCTACGCGATATACAGCGACATTGCCACAGCTTAGCGAATCAAGAAACAGCTACGCTGGCTTTTTCATGTGCTCTGGATGGATAAGAATACTCCAGCTTTGAATGTTTTGGAGCAGATAAAGAGAAAGATCTGTTGGAAGCACGCGATGGAAAGCGACCTGATTTCGCTAAGCAGCAAAAAGAAGAATTAATTGGCGCACTGTTGCTAACTCGCCTAAAATCACATAAGCGGTGTCTTCGACAGTAAAGAAGAAGAAGAAGAAGAAGAAACGAAGTTAGGAGCATCTCAATGACAGATAAGCCGTTGGTATTCAGTGCCAGAATTGAGTAGACAGTTTTTGTCAGCAATTTTCGAGTAGTCTCCATTTCTGTGGGACACTTCTTGTATATATAAGTACGTACACATGTTTAGGTTATCAAGAATTTTTCTGCGATAGAGTGCTAATTTATCCATATTTTTTATTTTTATTTTTTTTTTTTATTTGTTATTTGTGTTATTTTCTTTTCTGCGAATGTACATACGTACGAGTGCATACATACAGATGCGGGGTAAATCTGTGTATATAAAATTTTTATTCTTTTATTAGATGATACAACGCCAAATAATATATATATATATATATATATATATATATATATATATAGATGCAGACGAGTACATACATATGTACTTCTTGAAAGCTCTTCCGCAAATCATTTTGTATCTCGCTTTAATATACATATGTATGTATATATGTATATGTGGCTTTAATTAATGCTTATATATTTCATTGTATATAAATATTTATGTGCTTTTCGTTATAAATAAATTTATTTGCGTTGCCGCACAGCTAACGAATTCTAATAAACACCACACGAATCCATTGCTAGCAGCCGCCGGAGGCAAAATATTTCAATTGTTCTATTAGTCACAGAGTTAATCGGTCAGTCTGTTTGACGATTTGACGCAAGTTTACTCACTGCACAAACAATAACAAATTAGAGATTGCCAGTGACTCAGTGACATCGTGATAACACTCTTAAACACGCTTCAATTCACGCTCAGACAACTGCCGGCAGCATAAGACACGACACACAATACACACTTGGTGTGGGTCACAACACCGCAGCTTGCGCAAATACAACATCTACATTAATACATACATTTGAAAGTGTCTGCTGTTAATAAAAAAAAAAAACAAAAAAAAGCACTAACAGCACTAGCAAAGCTCAAAGCTGGAAGATCGTTTAGCAAAAGATTGAACTCTCATGTATGTATGTCTTTCGCTCTGCTCTCCTTTTCAGCACCATCGAAGATATACCCGAGACGCAGGAGGTCACCACCACCACCGGCACTGCCCCACAGCCCGCAGAAACTGAGACGTCTGCCGGAACAGAAGCTTACGACCCCAGCACGCCTATACCACGTCCACCACTCGCCGAATTAAGTGCACGCCCACCAACACCTATCGATGAAAGTGAAATGGCTGCCGGTAGCAAAGAAGTGAATCCCGAAAAAACGGTCGCTAGTACAACTTCCAGCAGTGATGGCATCTTCTCGATCATTTATACGGTTTTCAAGAAGGTTGCTATTGTTGGTTCCATTTATTTGGTTGGCTATATGGGTTGGAGTGTTGCGTGGTTGATAGCGCCGGTGATCTTGTCTGTGGCACGTGATGAGCTACGTAAAACCACTGAGCATAAGCGTAATATTGCCAAAGCTTCGGCTATGGCATCCGAGAAGGATGTCATAATGGCGCGTATCGATGAGTTGCCGGCATGGGTGAGTAGAAGGGTTTATTTGGAGCTGGCTGAGTAGAAGTTGAAAAAATATATATGTATAACTTTTGTTTTGCAGGTCTACTTTCCCGATGTGGAACGCTGTGAATGGGTCAATAAGGTAAAACTATAACTATGGAGGAAAATATTTATATTTCTTAATCTAGTTATTTATCACTCCTCCTCCATTTTTGCTCTCTCTTCAGATACTCAAACAAGTATGGCCCAATGCCAATCATTTCGCTCGCACTCTCGTCAAAGAGACCATCGAACCGAATGTTGCACTCGCACTCGCCAATTACAAAATGAATGGCTTTCGTTTCGATCGCATCATACTCGGCACAATACCGCCACGCATCGGTGGTGTGAAGATCTACGATAAGAATGTTGATCGTAATGAAATCATTATGGACTTGGATCTCTTCTATGCGAGCGATTGTGATATCAACTTCTATTTGGGTGGCATGAAGGGTGGTATTAAGGATTTCCAAATACACGGCTGGGTGCGAGTTGTCATGAAACCACTCATACGATCCATGCCGTTGGTGGGTGGTCTGCAGATTTTCTTTCTAAACAATCCGAATATCGATTTCAATTTAGTGGGTGTTATTGATTTTATGGATATGCCCGGATTGAGTGATTTGTTGAGGAGAATCATTGTCGAACAAATTGGTGCGGTTATGGTGTTGCCGAATAAGCTGCCGATAACGTTGAGTAATGAGGTGCCAGCGATTAGTTTGAAAATGCCAGAACCGGAGGTAGGAAAAGTGAAAGAGGATAAGGAAATGAAGAAAAAAAAGTCTGACGAAGCAAAGTTTTTCTCATATTTTAGGGCATTTTACGCATACATGTTGTAGAGGCTAAGGATCTCATGAAGAAAGATATCGGGGTTTTGGGTAAAGGCAAGTCCGATCCGTATGCGGTCATCAATGTCGGCGCTCAGGAGTTCAAAACACAGATTATAGAGAATAATGTGAACCCGAAATGGGACTACTGGTGTGAGGTAAGTTCAAATCTCTTTCTCTCTTGAGAAATATTTTTACTAATACAAAATCTAATTGTGCTGAAAAATATTTATGCTGCAGGTTAACCAATACTTTTTTTAAACATTATTGGAATTTAAAAAAAAAAATACCAAAATATTTGAACTATTTTTTCAATTGGCAATAAACTGATAACTAATATTTTTGAAAGATTTTAATTTCAAATCAAATAGGTTAAATTTTATCTTAACATAAATTTGTGGTTTTGTATTTTTTAATATTCCTTTGCTTATTGTTTTAAAAACTTAAAATATTTATTATTGCAAATTAACATTTTTACAGCATTTTTTTTTTTTTTTTTGAAAATTAAGGCTTTTGAGTAATTTTTTTCTAAAACTTTTAGTTCGATGAAGATTTCTCCGCAAGCTGCAAAATTATTTTGATTTTCACGTTTGGCATGCTTCACTCGAAATCTACATTTTTTTAAACGTTTTTGTGCACCACTGAAAATGTTTCTCACTGTTAAAATTAGTGCTTTTATGTAACCCAATCTGCAAACTATGACACTGTACTCTTATCTACCATTTTGTATGTGCATACGATTGTTCTCTTTTCCTGAGACTAATTTTTATTTAATTTCGTTTTTGGTTTTCGATTTGCATTTACTTTAAATACGAATCAAATAAACTATTACCATTATGTGTGAACCAAATTCATCAAAAACTTTTATAAATCATACTACTAAAACAACAACAACTTACATTAAAAAGGCAAAAATATTTGTTGAACTGGGTCAAAGTCTTGATATCACAATATTGGACATGGATAATGGCAAAGACGATGAAAAGCTGGGCAGGTAAGTTAGAGCAAAATAAATTGAGGCTAAAGCCAGTGTGAAAGTATAAGTAATAAAACAGTAAAATAGTAAAATAAATTGAAAAAATGAAATGAAATGAATAAGTAATCTAAAATGAAAGAGTAAATAAAATTAAGTAAAACGACAAGAAGAGAAAAAAATATTAAAAATATATAATATTTAATGTAAAATAAAATAAATTAATTGAAATAAATAAAATTAAAAAAAGTTAAAATAAAATTTAAAAACGAATAAAAATATAAATAAATTAAACAAAAATATTATTAAAGACATATAATATTTAATGTAAAATAAAATAAATTAATTGAAATAAATAAATAAAAAACTCTAAATAAAATTTAAAAACGATAAAAATATAAATTAATTAAAAAAATAGTGTAAAAAAATAATATTATAAATATATTGATATAAATAAATTATTCAAATCAATAAAATAAAAACCATCAAAAATTCAATTAAATCAAAAAAATATCAAATTGATAAACTACTTAACCAATAAAATAAAAAATAAAATAGATATAAAATTAAATAGATAAAACAAAACATAATAATGCGAACGTATTTTAAAAAATTAAAATACACACGTTAAAAATTTTAATTAAAATAGATTTACATAAAGAAATTAAATGAAAAATAAATCAATTAATATAAATAAAATTCAGTAGTTAAAGTAAAATTAATATAAAACTAAATAAATAAAATTAAAACACAATAAAATAAACAAAAATTAAAAAAACAGACTACAGGTAGTCGTGGTAGCCGAGTGATTAGCATTCGTACTGCCGTACGAAAGGCCAGGGCTCAAATTTCGGTGTCGTACTAGCATCCAAAAATATTTAGAAAATTTATTTAAATAAAAAATTAAGCTAAATTTTCTAATGGCGGTCGCCCCTCCGCAGGGAATCTTAACCCGTCCGACTGTATTTCGGACCTGAAAAAACCTTCAGCCATTCGGAGGCGGCTTAGTATAAACTGTAGGTCCCTCCATTTGTTGGAAAAACATCAAGACGCAAAACCACAAATTGGAGAAGGAGCTCAGCCGATAAGCGCTTCAGCGGTTACAAAACGCCCATTATATTAACTAAAAAAAATTAATAAAACAAATACAATGAAATACGTGGATGAAAAATTTTAATATAAAATAAATGATTACAAATAAAAATCAAATAAACATTAAACGAAATTTATTTAAACCAAACTAAAATAAAGAAAACAAAATTACATAAATTAAATTAAATTTGAAATATTAAAAATAAAATACAATTACATTAATTGATTAAAAATAAACTAAAATAAATGAAATTAAAACAACGAAAAAAAATTAATTTCTGATATAAAATAAAATACATTTTATTAATAATTAATAATAAAATTAATACCTTCAAAAATTTGATAAAGTAAAATAAAATTAAATAAATAAGAAATAAGATTAATAATCTAAAACAAAATGAACCGAAACTAAATTAAAAGTAATAAATTGGAATTAAAAAATAAAATTTCAAAAAATATATATATAAATAAAATGATAAAAACAAAATCAAAAAAAAAATTAAGATGGAAAATACAAAAAAAATCATTAATATAAAATGAACATAAAATAAATAAAATCATTAAGATAAAATAAAGAATTGAAGTAAAATAAAACTGAAATGATATAAAAAAGTTGTAAAAATAATTTACTCTTAAAATCAATTACTAGAATAGAAGAAACAAATGAAATAATATTATGTATAATTAAAATAATATGAAATTAATAAAAAAAGAAATAACAAAATAAATAAATTAATAATAAAATAAAATATATAATATAAAAAATAAAAAATGTCGAAATCATTTCAAATTAAATTAAGAAATAAAAAGAAAATGAGATAAATTAAATAAAATGAACCAATAAAAATAAAGTAAAACAAACTTAAAACAAAATTTGGTACTGTTAAACTAAAAGAAATAAAATAAAATATAACAAGCTTATGAAATGATTTAAATAACATATCATTATGAAATAAAATTAGTTAAAATAAAATAAAACCTAATAAATAAATTAAAAATAAAATAAAATAAAATAAAATAAAAAACACTAAAATAATATACTCTAAAAATAACATAAAAAATATAAAAGAAGAAACAAATGAAATAATATTATATGAAATCAAATTAAGGTGAAATTAATTAAAAAACAACAACAAAAATAAATAAAATAAAAATAAAATAAATAACATAATAACAAAAGAACTAAAATCTATTTAAAATCGTTTAAAATTAAGTTGAAAAATTGAAAAAAGATAAGTAAAATAAAATATATAAGTGAAATTAATGAAATAAAATAAACCAATAAAAATAAAGCAAAATAAACTTAAAACAAAACTGAGTACTGTTTAACTAAAAGAAATGAAATTAAATTAATTATAATTAAATAATGAAATAATTCAAATAAAATAGCATTATAAAATAAAGTTAGTTAAGATAAAATAAGAAATAAAAAGAAAGAAAAATAAATTAAAAATTATAAACTCTAAAAATAGCATAAAAAGTACAATAGAAGAAACAAATTAAACGACACTATGTGAAATTAAATTAAGATGAAATTAATAAAAAAAATAAAAACTAAAATGAATAAAATAAAAATGAAATAAATTAAATGGAATAAATTAAGTTAAAAAATTAAAAGAAGATAAATAAAATAAAATATATAAGTATAGTCAATCAAATAAAATAAACCGATAAAAATATAGTAAAATATATTTAAAACAAAACTGAGTACTGTTAAACTAAAAGAAATAAAATTAAATAAAATTAAATTAATTATAATTATATAACGAAATAATTTAAACAAAATAGCATTATAAAATAAAATTAGTTATAAAATTTTGTTTTAACTAATTTTATTTTATAATGATATTTTATTTAAATTATTTCATTATTTAGTTATAAGTGAAGAAATTAAATAAAATAAGTAAAAAATAATATAAAAATGTAAGTAAATTAACATAAAGAAAATAAAACAAAGAGAGTAATAAAGCCAAATGAAATAAGTAAAGCAACATTAAGTAAAATAAACAAAAAAAACCAAGTAATATTAAATTAAGTAAACAAAAAAATATGAAAATAATAAATATAATGAATCAAATTAAATTAAAATAAATGATTTCAAATAATTTAAAATAAAAGAAATAAAATAAATCAACTTAAGTATTATTAAGTGATATAAAATATAAACTAAAATCAAATGGAACGAAATATAATTAAAGATAAAATAAAAAGTAACTAAAAAGTATAGAAAGAAATGTAGATAATCAAAATTAATTGAAGCAAATTAATTAAATCAAAATAAAAAAGTTAATCAGTGCAAATAAAAATTTAATGAAAAGTAAGTAAATTAAAAAAAATAAAAATAGTAAGAAAAATTAATATTATATAATATAAAACAAAATTAAGTAAAAAAAACCAAATATAAGACAAAAATTTTACCCAAATTAAATTAATTTCAAATATTATATTAACAGTAAAAATAAGTCATATTAGCAACAAAAACATGTAACTTCACACATTTATATACATAAATATATATATATACATAAGTATCCTCACTTAATCAGAACATTGACTTTCACATCGCCATACTCGTCCATAATTATAATCCACTCAACAGTAGCTCAACAAACACTTATGTAAGTGCCCAAGAGTGTTTACCGTAATTAACGTGAGTAGTTGTAGTTGTTCTGGCTGATTCATTTATAAGCGTTCCTTTACCCTGTTGTGCGTATATATGTACGTCCTATATTTATAAAAAAAAAAACACATCTGTACATACATATATATGTATTATATAGTATGTAACTCTTATATTATATTTACATTTCAATGTATGTATGTATGTACAATAGTATTTTCGAATTGTTTTTGCATGACACACTCTGAAAATGTTGTCCTAAACTTAATTGTTTCTTTGGAATTTGTAACCTTAATTAACACAAATTTACTTACTTACCTACATACATACATTTGTGTACAAACCAATTAAAATAAATATGTAGCATTCATCTGCAGAAAATCAATGTATATTTGTATTTGTAGGCCCCTGCCTTCGCCGACGGCACTTTGGATCTAAAGGCCGTCTTTCATTTATGGGACTCAGATATACCCGGTAGTCCAAATGATGATTTTTTGGGAAGGTTTGCTAAAAGCATTTAAGAGAATTTCCTTTAGTGTTGTTTTAAACTGACTTCTTGTTATTGGTTATTTGTTATTGTTTCGTTTTTTTCTTCTATTTGGTTGTTAAATAAATCTTTTTAATTTTATTTTTTATTTTTTCTGAACAACTATTGGCATTGTTTCGAAACTAATCTGTTTTTATGTAAATTTGCTTTTTTCGCAGTTTATTGTTTACAAAGTTTAAGCTTTACGTTAGCAACTGTTCTCAGCGCTTTATTAATTCATTTTCGCTATACATAGATATTTATACTTTGTTATATTATATTTGTACCCGATGCTGTTCCCTAAGCCCTTCACATGTGCTTTTAAAGTCGCTTACCATTAAGAAGAGTTTCTCGAAAAAAAAATCATACGTATTTCGGCTTCATCCATTGAGACGATGGAGGTGTATTCAATATCTGTGCTCTATTTTCTTCGAACGGAAAAACTTCTCCGAAATAATTTATTCTAAGCAGAATATGTAGAAATCTTCGATTAAAACTGAAAAAACGCTTCCATGATCTGCCACTGGCCACGCTCTGTGTAACTTCTATCTGTTCGGTAAGAAACGCTTCTTGAAAGAAGACGCAGACTGAAGAAGAAAGAGAAAGCTGACAACAAAAAAATATTCTACGAACTAAATGATCGTATAAAATATAAAAAAAAAAAATTAAAAATTAAAAAAAATATATTGTATAATAATTTTATTAATACAGTTGAGTACTCCGTTTAAGCAGGTACATAACCTTTTCCACTCCAATAAATAAAAAAAAACGGTTAAAATAGAGACTCAGCTATCTTACTGAGGATAGGTCAGATGAAATTCCATCCCCAACTCAGAACAGAAATTCGCCATGTAATTCTCTTACGGCATAATTTAGATTAGGTTGCAGTGGCTACCGATCCATCAGATCGGATTCAGTTTGGCCTGACTTAGACCCATTGTGATACTACAAAATTTAAACCATCAAGCTTCATCCTCCATACATTTTAATTCTCTAATGAACCTCATTAAATCCATGACTTTGACGTCAGCTGTCTTCGATAGATCATCTAGCTCTATAGTCCCAAAATTACGAAACCTCGCCCTGCTCATAGCAGGGCAGTCGCATAAGAAATGGGTAATCGCCTCCTACTCTCCATACTCCTTGCAACTTCTGCAACATCATCTATAGGGAGCCCCTAGTCTTTCTGCGTGGCGTCCTATAACTTTGGACATATCGCCTCTTTTTCAAAGAGTACATGTCTCTTGATCTCTTCTTATTCCATTTCGACCATGTGCGCCGGATTTTGCGGCAGGTTGTGAGGTCATTCCACATTGTAGTGGCTTGTTTATATATGAATTCCTTGAGAAGCAGTTTGCATGTAGCAAAAGGCATACTAATGCATTCTTTATCTTTATTGATGTCCCTGTGACCAGGGACCCATATGATATGAGAGACAGTCTGTTCTATTTGAGTTCCATAGGAGCGTTTTCGGAGAAGACACCTTCGCCAACTTCCCCCTCCATATACATATATTTCCAGGCTATCCTTTGGAGTATTGTAATTATCTGTCCATTCTTCTCTGCTGGAAATTTGTATTCTATCTGGCATGCGTATGGCATGTCTATCGTAGAGGCGATTGAAATTCAATAGTTCTCACGACAGTCGGGTCTTTATACGAGATCGAAACGCATTTTTATTGCAGAATAGTAACTGTTATTTCTTGCAAGAAATAGATTTAATTTGAAAGAAAAACTTGAATAAAACAAGTGCATGAGAGTAAGAATTGTGTAAAAATTTTAATTTAAAAGCATAAACGGCTTCCAGGACTTAAATAAATACGGACAATTTTTTGAAAAAATTATGAAAATTTGAGCTTGCAGTAGAGGTCCAAAAAGGTAACATTCAAAAGCGACGATTTTCCGGAAATGCAAGAAAAACTATCTTCCTGGTTTTTGGGACAGCGAAGGTATCCTATTTCCATAATCGGGGTTACGTAAGAACAACAGGCAACAAATTTGCACCATCTATAACTGACATGACTTAAAGAAAGATATAGAAACCGGCTTCTAAATAAAAGTGCCGAGAAATTTCTATGAGATCTGGAGCTTGTTGAATCTTTTAAAAAAGTTTTATGAAAGTTTTCGCATGAAATATCCGAACCAAAGATGCATTGAAGATAGCTGATGAAACAGGTCAATTTACTTGAACAAAACCTATCTGCCCTCTGCAGAGAAAACAGCATTAGGGAGAAACATATCCAAGGGGAGAATGACTGCTGTTTTATGCCGCAATGCAAGTGGCCCTTGGTAACTGAAAAACTTTAGAGTTCTCGAGCATTTCTAAAAAAAAAATTTGCCCTTTGATTACACATAGACCAGTTCCATATATAAAAATTGGTTTCTCGAAAAATTTGTTCTTCAAAGATTCAAAGGAAAATAATATGATTTACATCGCAAGAAAATTATTTTCTTGCGGAAAACTATTTATCGTTAAACGCCTTATTAATTTAATAATTTTGGACAATGCAATGTTGCACTCTCAGGGTGATTAATTTGTTAAACAATAACGGTTACCACTTTGTATTTTATAGCAAATGTTACCCCACTTATACCGCCAATGGACGCAAATACAATTTGTTTAGTAAAACCCAATAAGAAGTTATGAGAAATGGAATTTTTTGAGATAAATGATGTTAAGTTCAATGTAAAGAGTAAGATATGCCCTTATAGATGGAATATAATATCCGCCATATGGCCGTCACGGCTACGCCGACAGGGTGGAATATACTTTTTTTATTAAATTTTCCATCCTCAAAACGCAACGCTTCACGAAATCCGTCTGACGTTGGAGTGATTGCATAGTCCTTACCTCTCACGTGGACGCAGAGGACGAAGTCACAAGAACTCTGTGGCCAATTGCGTTCATCTCTTCGAAAGATAACACGGTCCGGAATCTGTTTCCTCAAAAGATCGATGGTTTCGTTGCTTGCGTGACATTTAGCGTCGTCTTGTTAAAAATAAACGTTGTTCAGATCAATCGGTCTCATCATTCTAGATGATTTTTTTCTATGAATTTCTGGATGCATTTTAAGTACCCAATCTGCAAAGACACGACCTTGTCGATGATCGGCTTGAGCCCAATATAGAGCACAATTCCAGAGAACGACGACGAATGAACAAACCTGGAGTACAGCGGCAATACTCTCAGTAGTTCTTGAGCGACCTGCACCTTGTGTTCTTTACATCACAAGGCGTCGGTTATGCGTGTATCGTTCCTTTTTTATTACTTTTTTATTACTGGCGTAGTTCTTACTCGTCAAATGTCAAAAAAGAATAACCTCAAAAGTGACATCCACGTAAATAGTAGGGGTTTCAATATAACACCTCTTCTTGGAAACCCCTTTATAATGTGCTTACGCTTTGGAAGGCTTTTACGCTTCATGATGCTGTAATAGCTTCTACCCAGGGACGGGAGTCTAACTCGAAGAAGCTATTTTTTGTAATTTATTTTTTTTCTTATATTATATAATATAATAATTAATTAAACTAAAATGTCCGCATATTTTTATCATTTTTTTTTTTTTTTTTTTTTTTTTTTTTGGAAACACACATTTCCCTCGTTAAGTGAGTACTCGACATAACGAAGTGACCCCACAATACTTAAATGTGTTCGTTATTTCGGATTACTGTTGTAGTTGTTTTGTGGGTAGTCTTGCTTTTCCTGGGACAGACATATTTTATGAACTTCAACAAGCATGATACATACATACATATGTACTCGTACATCAACACCAACTTTCCATTGTTTCATAGTCCGCCCTTGAGATTGCATGAATTTGTGTCATTAAATAAATAAGCACAATGCAAAATACCGTTACTTACCCGGCGTGCACAAGTTCGGTTATTATGTAGTAAAGCATTATTTTTCTTTAATTTTTTTTACATATATAATATTTTGGTAGAATTTATTTGATGAAATTTACTAAAGAGTTCTCTCATTACAATCCATATACACACATACACGCACACATTTGAGTTTCATTTAATTATGCAAATGTGGTATTTACACAGGTAGCAAAGTAACAAGAATTATGCAAATATAATATTTATTTAACGAAATGTTGATAAACATATATCAAAGCATATATACATATAAATACATACATATAAATATGTATATTTATTGTATGTAATACCGTGTATTATTTTAATAAATTTATAAAATTAGTTAGAAGAAAAAATTTTTAATTTCTTTTTTGCTTTTTTCTTGTGTTCTCTTCTTCTCTCTTCCCTTTCTTGCCCTCTTGTTTGCTCTTTTACGTAAAAACGCTCGTTAAACTACTTAAATATGTATGTAAATGCTGCTAATTTCAAATGCTTTCATGCTGATGTGCCACGCCCATCCAAACGTATTTTGAAAAATTTAAAAAAATATGAAAAAAACAAAAACAACTATAAAACAGGCTGTGGTTGAGGTGACGCAGCATACCTTCTTGGTCTTTAGGCTGTATGACTGGGATCGCACTGGTGACGATGAGTCACTTGGCAGGTTGGCAATTCAGCTTTTAATATTTTCAAGTAATTTATATGGATTTTTTTTATTAAATTTCATTACAAAATTAGCATGAGTTTGTTGAGAATAGAATAAGAAGTTTTAATTTACTTCTAATCAATTTGTGTAGTGGGTTTTTTTTAGATGAGTTCGTTTAGTTTTTATACCATTTTTCTTCTTCTTCTTCTTATTAATAGCCCTTGAATTACGTAAAACTCAATGTAACATTTTCCATTTTTTGCCGCCCTTCTCTTCAACTTTTACTTATTTTGCTATTTTTCTTTCCAAAATTTTAATTTTCTTCCTTTGAATTCATTCTCATCTCGAACGGTTTTTTGGGATGTCCGCAGTGCAAACACTTTTTGACTTCGCACACTTTTTCAGTTTGTACATTTCGTGATATACGCGGCGGTGCCCAGGGGATGCGCTTCTCGGGTATGGCCTTAAATTGCAAAGAAAAAAGTGTATATTTTAAAAACTAGTATTTAATTTTTAATAATAGAAATATGAGTAGAATTTTTTTGGTAAAAGACCTTTGAAGTCCAATTGATTTTTTTTAACCATTTCTATGCTCTTGCCCACCACTGTTGTTTCTTCTTTAATGCGTTAACAGTCACAGTAAAATGTCAATAGAGCATAGACTTTTATATAATTTAATTTTTATTTCAACGACTGAAACCATCGACACACCTACCTACCCACCACCTACCTACTAAGCTCTCGGAGCTTCTAGCGAGTCACTATCGATGTGTATGGCCTGGCGTTACCCTATAAGGAAACTCAATACCCCTCCTGTTGGCTTGAACTGAGCGCTACTGGGCGATTTCTTTCTTTAGGCGACAGTACAGGTCCAAATTAAGAGTTTGGCCGTAGTGGTGCGGCTCATATTGAAAGATTCCTAACCAAACCCAATAAACACAAAGAACAAACCTTTCTGGCTTGGAAACTGTTTGTGCCGGCTCACTGTCCTTCGACTACCACCGCTTTTGCTCAACGACAGCACGAAGTGATCCACTTTTCATCACCAATCACTAGTCACCCTACACTTTCGAAATGGGTCGAGATTTTGTCGGTCCAAAATGTGTTTTCTTATTAAATCATGTCACACCCGTAAATCGAGCTTTTTTGGTTTCTACCATTTTTCAAGTGGGTAAAAACTGTTTTTTATACAACGTTAAGCTGTTGGGTAATCGAAATACGGCTGCCGTGATGATTAGACTCGACGATTTTCACTCATTTTTCGACATTTTCGAATTCGTGGAAGGTCACGTCACGCGGAACGAAATAGACGAAACTGAAATTATGCAGGATTGAGTATTACTTTCAATTGGGAGTGGTCCGTCCTAAACAAGAAGAATATGAAAGAGAAATTCGGAAAGATAAACAGCAAGATGTCTCGCGTCTAACGCTCAAACTTTGCTGCATCATGCCTGAGCGATTCATTTGAGCTACACAATGTTCAGAAACCTATCAAAGTTATCTCGAGTTTTTCCGATCAAATTTTGTCATACATTCAGAGATCTAACTACGTTGTTACTGAGTAGAATTAAGCAGATGATGCTGCAGGGTTGGACTGAAATTTCTTAAACCCTTACTTCTGGGGTTAATTTCTGAACTCCTGCGGGTTAGGAATTCCAGCATTTACCCAGAGGTAAGGCATACTTGTCGTAAGAGACGGCTAAAAACCAATAGTTCCCGCAGTAGACGGAATTTTGATTCAGCCGAGGATTAGTTTTTAATAAGTAAAATGATGCACCAAACTTTAAGATTTATTCAGGTCTTAAGGTTATGGCTCTTAAGATGCCCAGTTTAAACCATTCTATGCTCCGGAAAAACCCGTTAACCTCAGTGGCCTTTCAAAGAAACCAAAGGCAACAGAACAAAATTAATTGTCTACGCTGTCCATCAATTATCCAGACGCTATAGTGCTTAACTGTTATTACAAATGTCAAAGTTGGTCTCATCAATCTACATCTACATGATCTACTCTGGCTCCAGCCGAAAATCACTTATACAAAATTATGTTGATTGACAAATCACACTTTGAACAACTTTAAATTCAAAAAAAACTTTGTCGGCTTTACGGAATTCACCGAGTATATCCTCAAAGCTCTTCTGCAAGGTAATATTGGCCGTTGTTCTCTGCTAAATATTTGGCGAACGATATCTGCGGAACTCGAACACACTACACTCTCTTCAAAAGAGAAATGTAAAATTACTCCTAACTAAACTATTTCCCAAGACATGGAAACCGTTAAAACATCCACGCTTGATTTCATTTCACAACAATTGGATATTGTCAACGATAAAGTGAAGTTTTTTCTTTTCCGATGATTTCACCAGCGGTGAAGAGTTTTCGCGTCGTCTGACCGTTGTCTCTATATTCTCTTATATATTGTATATCACTGTCATCTTATCATCGGCTTGGCTGCCAAGGAGCTAAGAACTATACATTGTTCACCACGCCCATCTGTCGAAAACTCCTACTGCTACTCATCGTATGTTGTTGATGAGGTACTTGTAGAGTTTAGTCTTTGTTCCTCGAGGGATAACTTTACTTCTCAATTGCCTATTCAGTCCAAAGCAGCCCTTGTTGGCCAGAGTGATTCGGTGTTGGATTTCGATGAGCATATAAGTGTTGGTGTCGATGCTGATTTGTAGTTAGACAGATTGTCTATCGAATCTCCAAACAAAATTTTACTCACCACTTGCGTACGTTCGGGTTTACCACTACAAGTCGGACATCGGCGCACCAAATTTGAGTTCGGCGATTTCAATGTACTTGGTCGACTCGATTCATAATCATCGGTTGATTTCGGACCATAAATCGTAATCAATTTAGGAAGACTCGAGAATGGACGAGTTTCGAAGAGTTTTTCACGTTGTAAGAAACTGGAAGAAATGAAAGTCAAAAGAAATTAAATGTCACATATACAAAGGCAATGACAGTAGCCACAAATGTCATGGAATTTTTTTTTTACACCCACTCACTTCGGTCGCGGTGCCAACCATAAGTCCGACATACGCTTTTCTTTCATAATATCACCCAATTTCTGCAAGAGCCTCACATTCTCCGCTTCTATGCGTTGTAAGCGCTCCTTCTCAATTTGCACCTTCTTCGGCTTGAGTATGACATGCGAATAAATGGGCGGGGTACGCATATCGATAGCCGGTTTGGCAGAACGGAGATTGGCACGATGATGCTCGTAGCGTTGTTGTGTCCAGGGTAAATTCAGAAGTTTATCACGGCGTGAAATCATTTTGATTATTCACAGTGTTGTTGATTATGAAGATGAGATGAATTGATGATGTTGACACAATGGATTAAGTGACACGAGTAAGTACGACGCACACTATTGACGGCTGGTTTGATTTGTGGTACATACAAACATATACAAGGAGTATTACTTATTGTTTGCTTTGGTTGTTTTGTCCAGGTAACAGACAGTTATTGGTTAGAATGTTTGCCAGTAATGACTTTTGTATGTTAGTAGCTCCTTAGAAACCAGTGTCAAGGACACCACGTTAAGGTTTGTTTATGAATGACTGCATTTCCATCGTGTCGATATTCTGAGTAATTGTCCTTGCTTAGCAATGTGGGCGCTCTTATGTTGCAACCATCTTATAAATGGCAAATTCAGTCAAGTTCGGGTGGTTCAGTTCTCTTCCAAATTTGGTCTCCTTCAAGTCGGCTCGTATAGAAATAGTAATCAGAAAAAGCTAAGACCTTGGCATACGAGTTGGACTTTCTACCAAGCTTTTTTCCGTCACTAGATTAAAGAAGTCACAAAGATTGTCCCGAAGCTCGGTCAGTGCAAACAAGCAAAAAAAGGTTTATACCAGAAAAATATGTTGTTCAGCGCTTGTTTAAATAAATCAGACAGCGAGCTCTTCAAGCTCTTGCGCCGCTCTCTTTATATGTTTACAAGCAAGCTTCTCTTCAATTCTCGATTCCAAAGGTACGAGCTTTTCGAATAGAAATTATTTTTGTACCTCCTTTGAGAGCGCAGCCTTTCAAAGTCCTTGAGTTTTTAGAATGCACAGCAACCGCATATCTTGATTATGGCATAATAGTGTTGCTAGAATGATCATCGTTCCAACGTCCATTGCACGACTTGCACACCAGCTTTCTGACAGCACTCATCACTAACTCTTTGTAAGAAAATTGTGGAAGGGCAATTCCTTATTTGCCGCCGCTATGAAAATAACTGGCTTTCGACAACGCAACCGAGTTGAAAAGCTAATACGATGAGGAATATCGAGCTGCAGTGGAGAAAAAAACAGTTTGACTACCTCGCAACCTTGCGAGTGACCACAACAAGTGCGGGTTGGGATAGATACCGAGGGAAGTAACACGCATTCATAGACAAAGAAAAATAGGACGGGGTGCGTGAGTATGGAGAGCTTGAGAAGTTGGACGACAAGGGTAATTAATGTGCGAAAATTCTATAAAAAGATCCGACGGCTCACAAAAGGTTTCGCGACCGTAGCATACTCATATATGTAGGAATCAGTGTAAAAATCTAGCGACTGTTGTCTAGTACTTAGTGTTTGGAGGGAACTCTTCCAACCACCTGAAGGGCAGTGAAAGTGCAACAACCATCACGGGAATATGAATAAATCAGACAATAAAGCGGATAAAGCCGACTGGTAACCGACAGAGCATTTCAATCATGGCAGCGAAGAGCCGGCAAGATTCATACATCATCATAACGAGTGGTATCTTAGACTGCTCACATCAACTGTTTCAAATACCGTGAAATTAACCTACTCAATATCGCATATAAGTTCCTTTTAGCCCATTGTATAAAAGGTAAAGTCCACCGGAAACAAACTGATTGGATTTTAGCAGTATGGCTAGACCTGGTAAATTCACGATTAACCAGTTATTCATCAGATATACCAAATCTTGGAAAATATCTGTGAGAAAATAATCGATACAAACCACCACCTTGTCATAGTAACAGGGTAACTCTTTATCGTGGGAATGTCGCTGACATTCATAGGCCTCAACAGCTGCCTCGTTAGTTCTGCTTTCTCAAGGCTGGACGAAGAAGTGAAGTGAATTGGACAAGTCCAAATATTTCCCGTCATCAAACAAACCGTTGACAGTTATACGAGTAACTTCGAGTTCGTAGATAATTTAGTTTATCTATGGACCAGCGTCAGCAGCATCAACAATAATATCAGCCTGAAAATCCAACACAGAAGCAGTCTTGCTAACAGGTGCTTCTTTGGACTAAGTAAGCAATTGAATGGTAAAGTCCACTCTCGGCGAATGAAAACCAAACTCCACATCATTCTCATGGATATTGACAACCTCCGATAATTCGGCTTTGGGAGTTCTTGAGAGAAAGGTTTTGCGAAAAATTTATGGTTTTTTTCGTATAAGCGATGGTGAATACTGCAGACGATGGAACAGTGAGCTATACGAGATATACGGAGGCATTGACTATATAACAAAATTAAAAATTACGGTAAAGGGGTCAGAGTAAGATCTTCGGCCTCTTTTCTCCCGTACACAAGACTGCGGCTGTGGCCATAAGTGCGTTTCAAGCATTAGTAAAAGATGTATCTAGATGTTATGGACAGCGCACATTAGTATGATCGTTTCTATTGTAATCTTCTTTTATGCGATAGAATTAAAATTCTACATGTATCCTTATACCGCTAGGGGCTAGTGCTTTCAGAGGATCGTCAGCTTCAAGATCTTCATTCGGTGTCTCATCTCTGCCAAATAAACTCTGCCATAAGAGTTCAAAGAAACCTCAAATCGAATGTGGGAGAGGCTTCAATGAAACGTTACTCGCCTTCTTGCGTGACTTAAGTCTTCAAAAGCTTTGCTCTCGTTGCACAGGGTGTACTAAAAGTGGATGTGAGTAATGAATGTGGTGGTTGGCAGAGAATTCGTACTTTTGGTCCGATATTAATTTGTAATACGAAAGTCAACCTAATTTATGGTTCTCGGTTTTATTGCTAGATATGTATAATATATGTCTTTATAAGCAAAAGTGTTCTGAAAAATTACATACGAACTATTGTTTCTCTTCGTTTTGCTCGTACGTTGACACACAATGCAAAAACATCATCCCCTAAGCTCGCTTGGCACTCACTACTGAAAGGGATGCGAGTTTTATTATTTTTTTCGTTCGGAGTTTTGCAATTCGCAACTGCTTTTTCGCCGAATGTTCAATATAAATACCAACAACACTTTCGCTCATTTGTTCTTGCTTCGGCAGAACATATACTAAAATTGGAACGATACAGAGAAGATTAGCATGGCCCCTGCGCAAGGATGACACGCAAAATCGTGAAGCGTTCCACATTTTTTTGTAAGAATATTTACAAAAAATTACATAATAAAGGGTATTTTTTTAAGACATATGATTTTTAAGAACAAATAAAACGAATGTAATTTAATGTTATGGTCGAGAACTGAGCTTTATTATGAGCTTAAGGGTTTGTCTTTTATACTCTAAATACGATTTCAGGCAAGTGATTCCCACGGTTGGTTTAATTAAATTTCAGCCGCTAAGCCCACTCGTCCACTTTTTACAAAAATATCAGCAATAACGCGTCGAATGTAATTTTCCAAAAAGTCAATCGTCTCGGGTTTATATGCGTAAACAAGCGACTTCTTTAACCCCACAAAATATAGTCCAGCGGTGTTAAATCGCTCGATCTGAGAGTCCACGTAACAGAGGCACATGAAGCGAGCTTAGGTGTAGAGACTTTAAAAACTGCATTTTCTTCTGTTCTAAAACTATCCAAAAATAAATCTTGTTTGTATTTTCCATAGTATTAGTGTCGCATCTTGTCTTGCTATATGGCGCTGAAAACGTGTTTATTCGCGCTAAAAGTTTGTCTTCGACAGTTTTTCGATTGGTGGACTCAGTACGTTGTGAGCGCTCGTCAAAGATGGACACCAGCAAAAAGAAAATTCGCTAAATTTTACAATTCTTCTTCGATCAAGGTGAAAAAGCAGCCAAAAGGCTGAAATAATTAATTTAGTTTATGGGCCCGATACTGGAAACGAAAGTGTAGCACAAAAGTGATTTGTCAAAGATGCACCACGCGTCGGTAGGTCTGTCGTCGAAAATTGCGATAAAATCATGGAAAAAGTGGGTGCCACACGAACTAACGCAAAAAAAAACATGATGAACCGAATATCCATCTGCGAATAGCTGCTGAATCGCAACAAAATCGACCCGTTTCTAAACCGGATTGTGATTGGCGATGAAAAATGGGTCACTTACGACAACATCGAGCGCAAACGGTAGTGGTAAAAGCTTGGGGAAGCGGCCCAGACGGTGGCCAAGACCGGATTGACGGTCAGGAAGATTTTGCTGTGTGTTTGGTGGGATCGGCAGGGAATTATCTATTACGAGCTGCTCCCCTATGGCCAAATCTGAATTGGGCCCTCTACTGCCAACAACTAGACCGCTTGTAGGCAGCACTCATACAGAAGAAGAAGAGAAGAGGCCATCTTTGTCAACAGAGCCCAAATTGTGTTCCACCAGGACAACGCCAGGCCACACACGTCTTTGGTGACGCGCCAGAAGCTCCCGGAGTTCGATCGGGAGGTCGTAACGCACCCACCTTATAGTCCGGACCTGGTACCAAGTGATTACCATTTTTTCCTGTCCATGGCGAACGCGCTTAATGGTGAGAAGTTGTCCTTAAGAGAGACCTGTGAAAATGGGCATAATGAATTTGTCATCTCGTTGGCAACAAGTTTACGAACAAAACAGCGCATATTTGACTTAAATCGGAAAAATGTACACAAAGTTAACACATTTTGAAAAATCAATAAAAAAACGAACGAACTTTTTACTTGATATAATATTATTGAAATTATGTCTTTTCGCAACTTGTGTGGAATTTTTTTGTTTGAAAACGTTAATTTTTTTTAAACTTCGTAAAAATTTAGAATTTTCCAACTTCTTCGGTATTTTTTTAATTCATAAAAATTCAATTCAATTTTTAATTCATACAAATTAAAAAAAAAATTGTTCGACTGTTTCAGATGCATCGCACGACCACCATAACCGGCACCGTTCCACAAGTTCAAACAGAAGTCGCTTCGGAAAACTCATCACGACATTGGAAAATTCCAAAAAATTTTTTAGACTAAAAATTATATTTTGTAGCTTAAATGTAGTACATTATGGTCCGAAAATTTCGTTTACAGCAATAGATTACTTCTCTTTCGAAAAATTGCTGAAACAAGGACTTTTTTCGGGTTCTAAAGGGAACCACTAAAAGTTTTTTTTCAATAAGTTGATTATTGCGTTGGTTGTTTGACATGTAGCGCCGCCTGGTAGGATTGTTGGAACCAAAACTCGTACACATCAACATCAACCAATTCAAGCACGAAAAACTCACTAATCATCGCTCTATAGCGTTCCCCTTTGACTGCAGCATTTTTAGCGTCACTTTTGAAGAAATATGAACCAATGTTTCACCCGGCCTTTAGAAGAATACTCCAAACAGTGACTTTTTGAGGAAGTAACGGGGTCTCCCATTCAATCCAAAAGAAGAAAATTAATTCCAATAAAAATTAAGCTAAATTTGCGGTCGCCCCTCGGCAAGGAATGTCAACCCCTCCGAATGTATTTCGGACATGAAATAAGGCTCCTCGTATAAAAACCATCAGCTGTTCGGAGGAGGCTTAGTATAAACTGTAGGTCCCTCCATTTTTTGGAAAAACATCAAGATGCAAAACCACAAATTGGAGGAGAATTTTGGCCGAAAACCGCTACAAAGCGCCAAAAGTGAGCTTCATCACAACTCGTCTTGAGCGCAAGCACCGTAGCTCCGAAGCGTTTGATGGTCGTTCGGTTTCAATTCTAGAACAATTTGCTCTTTGTAAGCCGGCAAACCAAGTGCCTTACACAAAATCTATCATAAAGTGAAGGGGTGCAGCGATTGCGATTGGACTTATTCGGCTCTGCTTCGATACCCTGCTCCAACAACAGTAATAGTGTCTTGGGCGCGCACTATACGGCGTAGCTGGGACTGCGCATTGTCCACTAGACTAGAGGTGATGCGAAACCGATGCATAATTCGAGTAAACATTTATCGACTTTGTGGACCGAAAATTTGACGCAACGCGCTCACGAGTAAGAGCTGTCAAAAAGACACTCCGTGGAAAGTATTGCCTCATTGAAAGCAACACGTCTTTTTTAGAATATTCTATATAAAGCTGTTATTAAATCTACAAAATGAGTAACCATTGCTGATTTTCATTTATGCTCTTCGTAAATATTTGCTTTCGAAATCCCGAAGCTTGCTCATTACAACAATTGCAAATCTCGCTCTCATTCATTCTCATTCATTTCTTATCAAAGTTTCACGGTTTATTTTCATTTTTAACTATTTCCTGATAATTTCTTGAGTTCTTTCAAACTTTTTTTCTGTAATTGCACAACACTAACCTCTACATACATATATCTTACAGAGCTACCATCGAGATTTTCAATGTGATCAAACGGGGCATCGTGGATACGGTAAATACCAGCGCTCAGCTGAGATAATTCCCTCTTTTTCTGAATTAACAACCAATCTATGTATTCCCACAGTGGCTGACATTGGAGGACGCCAAACACGGGCTCCTACACGTGCGTATGCAATGGTATAAACTAACCGCCGATCCTAATGATTTGCAAGCGGCTTTGTTGGAGACGCAACAACTGCGTGTGACTTCCATGAGTACGGCGCTGCTGACTGTCTTCATCGATTCCGCTAAGAACTTGAAGGTAATCGCAGTGAATTTCAATTATTTATAACTTTTTTTTATTTTTAACACATTTCCAACTCCACAGCAAGCGCGCACCAGCTCAAAGCCCGATCCCTATCTGATCGCCATGGTTGGTAAGCATAAAGAGCAGACAGCAATGATTATGCGCGATGACTCGCCCGTTTGGGAGCAGGGTTTCACCTTTTTGGTTAGTAATCCGGAAAATGAATCACTTCAAATACGCATTATGGATCAGAAGACAAACAATGAGATTGGCCAGTATACTTATCCACTGAATTTACTGCTACCGAAGAAGAATATGGAGTTGGTTTCACAACCATTCCAACTGCAAAAATCTGGTCCCGAATCGAAGTTGATTATGTCACTCTCGCTGCGTATACTCAAGCCGGCTGAAGTGTTGGAGGAGACGGAACAAACTGCGAGCTCACCTGAGTCTTCAATAGCGCTGACACGTTCGAGCTCGTTGAAAACGCCCACGCAAGAGAGTGCAAGCAATAAGGTATGTATATGGATACTCGTATATCGAAAACTACAGCTTATAAAGGGTCGGCCAACTGCCATTAGCATTTAGAGCGGCGGCTTTTTCGAGCTTTGAGATTTTCAATGACATTCCGGATGCGTGAAATGTTTTGTACAAAGCTTGCAGTTTAAGAAGATGGCCAGTCTTCAACCACAACTGCAAGAACATTCCGCACGGAACTCGAACGAGCTAACTCGCACATCTCCGGCAGCTTTTGAATCAATTTTCGCAGTGAGCTTGTCACGTCAATATAAACTCTTCACTGTTCGCAGATATCAAACTTTTTTTAATTAAAGACCTCGCTTTGAAGGCTTATAAATTCCAAGTGGTCCTAGAACTGAAGCCTCTTAAACATCCGATGCAATTACGATCCACTCAATGGGCTGAAGGTCGCTTGGCAGAGGATGAGCATTTTTACCGAGAAATAATCTTTTTCGATGAGGCTCATTTTCATCTCAAACAAGAGGCGAAGCTGCAGTCTTGAAAAAGTCAATGCATCCTCAACGAGTTTTTATTAGATGCGACATGTGGTGGACCGTATCATTGGTCCGTTTTTCTTCGAAAACATGGAAGTAGCTGCCGTTACCACACTATACTGAGAGATGATTTGTTTCCAAATGTTGGAGAGGTTTCAGACACGTCGTGGGAAGTCACTTCGTGCGCGGCTCGGCTCTCACATCACTGTTGGCAATCAAACTTTGTAGTCGTCAGCAACAAAGGCAGTCTGGAAGTCCAATTTAGAATCACTCCTGTCAACAGATGCCACTTTGGTTGAGTAGGGGATTAAAATGTTAAGTCCTCTATCGACCAGAAGGTGCCAAACTTTAAAAGTCGCCCATCGTTCCCGTCCTACTATTCGATGCGGAGGCATGGACGCTGATAACATTTGATTAGTCGGTCCTGGGAGTCTTCGAGAGAAAAGTTTTGCGTAAGATGTATGGTCCTCAGAGAGTTGGGAACGGCGAATACCACAGCCGATGGAACGATGAACTGTACGAGCTACATATGTGCTGTCTAGATCATGTGATCCAAATGTATAAGAATACTCCTGCTTTGAAAGTTTTCGTTGCTGTCTGCCTACTGGTGGAAACAGAAGAAGAGGAATACCTCCCCTCCTTTGGAAAGACCAGGTAGAGAGAGGACCTGACTGGACAAATTGCGGGAGAAAGGAATGAATGGCGCGTTTGTTAACTCGGCTATAATCGCGTTGGCAGTGTAATACGCCAGCAAAGAAGACATGGACGATGTGTGCTTTCAGCACGACGGTGGTATATGCCACGCAGCCAACGTTACAATTGGTATTTTGCGTACTGTGTTCGAATATCGGATAATTGGCCGAAACGGCAATGTCAATAGGTTACCTCGCAGCTGCTTTTTCCTGGCCCACCTGTTACATATATTTATATTAATTTCTCACAAGCTCACATACACTTTCATTTATCCCCCTTAGGATCTACAATTACAAACAAGTCGCATTTCGATTGAATCACCCATTGCCGAAGAGCAAATCATCACAATGAACTCCTCCCCAGCCGCCACACCATACTCGGCAGCGCTTGAGACTGGGGAAGCCGTACTTACGCATCGCATGCCAGACTTAACCAGTTCGACAGGTGAATACGGACTCGGCCGCATACAACTTTCCATACGCTATAGTGTACAAAGGCAGAAACTCACTGTTACCGTACACAAAATCATGTATCTGCCATTACGTGATCCCTCCAGTATACCGGATCCCTATGTTAAACTATATCTACTGCCAGCACGTAATAAGGAATCGAAGCGTAAAACAATGGTGATTAAGGATAATTGCAATCCTGTCTATGAGGCCACATTCGAGTATCTCATATCGACCGCGGAGCTAGCACAAACCGAACTGGAAGTGACCGTATGTTCGCAGAAGGGCTTCCTCTACGGTGGCAGTCCCATTATGGGCATGGTGAGTGGTAGATTCTTAATTGGAAAATGTATTTTATATATATATATATATTTTTAAACTATTTTAACAGCTTAAAATCCCACTAAATGAACCGGAGATATCCAGCAATGGCATAAACTCATGGATGGATTTGCAGCCAGAAATGAAGCATGATTAAGCGATGACGGCACCGTTTGTATGATATTTGAATTTGTTGAAAAGCCAAGCAGGAGTAACTTGCAGAGTCGATATCCGATGACTGCTTTCGAAGATAATGTTTTTTCTTTAGATATGTATATGTATGTATGTATGTATATTTTTTATAAGTAGTATTTCTTTTTTTCGAAAAAATTTTAGTCCCTTATTATGAGTTGCATGCGATCTTCGACTGTCGGCGAAAGAGCTGATCGAAAAAATTATCGTTTGGACTTCGATGAATTTCGATAAACTGAATTTTTCACAATCGCTGGAAGCATAGCTGGAAATAACTAGAAATACAAAACATTACAAGAGGCATTGTCTATTTCGAAATTTTCATATTCTTGCACGTAATCCCCGCTAGTTAATCTTAGACCGTATTCTTCTACTGTAGAATTTATACTTGTTTCCTACACCAGCAATCCAATTATGCCCTCTTCTGAATCAATTTTCGGCAGCAATAGTAGAATGGTTAGCATTGCCTGCAGCTATTCGAAAGGCTACCATTCAAGTCCTGGTTCTTTCAATATCCGAAATTATAGAAAAATAATTTTTCTAATTGCAATCGCTCTCGCCAGGGTATGCCAAGCGCTCCGAGTGTGTGTTCTGACATAAAATAAAAGGCTCCTCGTAAAAATACATCGGCGGCCGTAGACCGCTTAGAATAAACTCTGCCAACAAATGGAGTAATTGTTAGAAAAACATCAAGACACACAACACAAATTAATGGAGTAGCTCAGCCGAGAATGATCTTTGCTATATTGGTTTTAGCATTTAGCTTATGTGGCCCAGCACGAATTGCACGATATTCCGATTTACACATTCTCACATTCTCCTTTTTTTTAATTTACATCAGGTGTGGCCTGACAAAAGAAAAACTCAAAATTAGTTCTACAGAAGTATGGTTCTTAAGTCACCATAAACCACTTGGTTAACGTTCTAACGGGTGGTCCTAAACAATTCGATTCCAGCGTAATTTTCTCCCGCTAGAATTGAGAATTTTACACCTAAAAGAAACTAGTCGTTCCAACTATTGTTTGGTACACGCAAAATTTGAACTGCATTATTCATATTTGATAGCAAAAAAGTGGTAAAATTAAAAAAAATCCTATATTTTTAAAAATTTTCCATAATTCCTTATGGCAGCGAAAGCAAAATCTTGTTGAAAAAGAAAATTTCGACAGCGTTCGCAACTCATAGTAAGAGCTCGAATTTCTTTTTCGATGTTCGATAACCAGTGACAATCGAAAATCGAATTTTGCTCATAATAGGGGGCTTAAACTATTGTATTAAGTAATTTTTTTTTTAATTCAGAATTTATTGCATAACTACTTTTTTAAAATACCTCAAATGGAGTAATTATATAGAATCTCAATTTACAGTGTTTAACATAATACAATATTATATAAATTTTAATTTGGCTTAATTTTAATATATCATTTTCAAAAGTAGTTACTTTTTTCAAGGTGGTCCGAATTATTTTTTTTAAATACATAAATACATTTTCTTCTAAATTTCTTTTTTTTCAAATACTTTAATTACATTTTTAAGAATTTTTTATATTTTTAACACGATATACGTAATAACACTCTTCCTATTATTATGAGTTTTTACACATTATTTTTCTAAATTTTTTTATTTGTTTTATTTGTTTTTTTTTTTATTGCTTTAAGAATCTCATTAATATAATTTCTCTTCTGTTTTCTGTAAAAAAAATTCTTAATTTTTTATTTGTAAAAAACTCTACTACTATGTGCCTTTTTCACTACGTAAAGCACAATCTTTATAAAAAAAAAAAAAAAACAATTGTAAAACTACAAAAGTGTGTGTTTTTGTTTACGCAAAGCTTTCAATAGAACAAAAAAAAGAAAAAAAGAAACGAATAATATTTTAAATGTTTGTATCTGAAATTAAACCAAGAAAAAAGTAAATAAACTAAAATAATGTTAAATTAAATACCTGTCTGGAAAATAAAGAAGTGAAAAAATAAAACGAAATTTTTTATTGACACTTCACTACCAAGTGAGCTAAAGCGAGCCAATCTTTTCTTCTTCTTGCCATTTGGTGACAACTAGAGACACTAAGTAAAGTCAGTTCGTTTTCCACATGAACCTTCCAACTATGAGACGATCTTTGTTGTGGTTGTAGCGGCTCATTAAACCCTCTTAGACGCAGGCGGACTTTTCTAATGAGTGGTGCAGGAAACAAGCTTTTGCGAGGTGTTCGGACCAGAGCGCGAGTGATGTTAGTTGGTTTCATTTTAGGGGGCATACAAAGCAGTCTCTTTAGCTCTTGGTCAGCAATTCGGGTTGGTGTTTGGATTCGGAGAACGCCATGCACTGGAGGTGTGTTTATGATGTTCTTGAGAGACTCTCAGTGAATGGTGTTTAAAGTCTGCCAGTACGCCGCTCTACTCAGCGGTTTTTGTTATTGTAGCGGTTAGCCAACTTTGTTTAAGAATAGGCTAGTTAGTGTAAGTCATTAAGATCATCAAACCCTCTTAGACGCAGGCGGAGTAAGTTCCAGAACGCCTCTTTTGAATGTTCGTTTTCCAGAACAATGAAACAGAACCTTCTAGAAATGAATGCGAGAAATTAATAGGTATATAAGAGTGACATCCAACACTGCTACCAGTTCAGTAGTGTAGAGTACACGGTAGTGACAACATTGAAGCAAATTGAAGAGGAGTAAACTGTAAGCATTTGAGAGAATAAACTCTATAAAGAAGAAGAAAACATTTGGTTACCTCAGACTTAGTAGATTGTGTGTTTACAATAAAGAAGCTTAACATCAAACCTTAGGATATTTACTTAACAATCCAGTGAGTAAACGCGAAGAATTTTGGAAGTCATCTAGGCTTACTTAGCAAAAACCGCTACAATGCACAAATTTTTAACGTTGCATTTCCAAAGGCAAAAAAGGCTTATTCACGAGTTTAAAGAGTAGCTTTCAGCTCTCAAGAAAAACGAAAACTCTTAAAAAAAAACTTAATATGCGTCCTTTGGTTCTGTTTACCCGTTTCCTTTGTAGAAACTGAAGAGCACCTCCGGAAAATTAATAAAAAAAATATATATTTAATTATATTATATTAAATGTAAGAAAAAAAAGAGTAGCAAACTCACAAATCACTTAAGTTTGAAGAAATTTCTTTTTATTTGTTTACTTTTGCACTCTTCATCTTCCACTGCTTAACACTCAAGGTGTAATATCAAACATCAAAATTACTTGCTTGCCACTATTCTACGCAAAAGAAAAAATATAAAAAATTTCTTGAGAGCTGAAAGCTCTGCTTAAATTTGAGAACAGAGCACAAAATACCAAGGTTACAGCACAATGACAGTCCTTAACTTTGCGAGCAAAGAAATTTTTAAATACTTAAATGCAGCCCTGTAAATAATGTCAGCTGTTTTTCACCAGCCACATGCTCTACTCTTCTCATATTTGCACATAAACTGCTCTCACTGCTCTTTGCTAGCACCGAATTATACACAACGTTGGTGGTTGTGTACAGATATGTACCTGTATGTGTTCGTGTGTATGTGCATGCGTGTATTAAAGAAATTCATTCCTGCTGAATTTTCTTGTAATTCGCATGTGCTTTTTCGTTACGTGCTCCATACAAATATGGAAGTGAGAATGAAGTATTTGTTCTTGCTTCGGCAGAACATATACTAAAATTGGAACGATACAGAGAAGATTAGCATGGCCCCTGCGCAAGGATGACACGCAAAATCGTGAAGCGTTCCACATTTTTTTGTGAAAATTGTCTCTCTAATGAAATTAAATAAATTATTTTGCAATTTGGGCGAAGGTGAGATTTCATCATAAATTATTTTCGAATAAAATTTGTGTTTTTATTTTGCTTTAACTATGTGCATATACTTATGTATTGTATTTGTATAAAAATGAATTGCTGTTCGTTTGTTCGGCAAAAACCGGCTAATTTTGATATTGAAATATTTGTGGAATTTCAGTGAAGGTTGAAACGTTTAACGAAGTCTGGGAAGTGGGACAGGGACCGATCTATTCGAAAAAATCATATTTAAATTCGTTTCAATTTACTTGAAATTTTGTACTTATACTAACATGAGCACTGCCTATTCGTCCGGGAAGTCGACCAGGAAAAAAACCGGTTGAAAATATAAACAAAACGTGTTTATCCCATTCATCTCCACCTTGCTTTAACTACAATAAATTTTAATTGAAAAAAATATTATAATAATATTATATAATAAAAATCAATTGAAGATTGTGAGTATTATTTTTCAACATTTGAAGGGTAAATGGCGGATCGCAGCAAGCTTGAGCTTCACACGGGTCTTTTACAATGGGCTTTTAACAATTTGTAGAGTGATTTTTTTCATTTAAATTATTATTTCACAAGAAGTGTCGGACGAACATCTCACAGAGGAACTCAAACACACCTTGAGCAGCGAACGAAATATGGAAAACCGGTGACACATGAGCGGCATCAACTCGACGGTTACCGATTACTTTCCTTTGTAGGTAACAAGTAAGCTGAAAAGGCCTTGTTTCAGCAATTTATTTGAAAGAGAAGGTAACTATTGCTTAAACGAAATTTTCGGACTATAATGTACTAAATTTAAGCTACAAAATATAATTTTTAGTCTAAAAAAATATTGGAAATTTTCCAATGTTGTGATGAGTTTTTCGAAGCGACTTCTGTCTGAACGCGTGAAACGTTGCCTGTGATGAAGGTCGTGCGGTGCATCTGAAACAGTCGAACCAAGGCGAATTTATAGAAAGTGAAGTTGTCAGATCATATAATTGCTTGTTCTCCTTCCCAATTCAACAAATTACACAAACAAAAAAAATACATGAGAAATACGTTATGACATTTCGAACGTTCGCTTACCCAAACAAAATACATTGAACGACTTTCGTTTTTGACTTTTCGCAACTATGATTACACAAACAAAATACATGGGTTTTTTGTGTTTGTATTCTTGCTACTACCGTGTGTGAATTTGCCTTGAGTCGAACCAATTTTTTTTTTAATTTTTATGAATGTCTCTTCTACATGAACTAAAAGAGGTCGAAGAAGTTGGAAATTTCCAAAATTTTTCAAAGTTCGAAACAATTTGCATTTTTCTGAAGAAAAGAAAAATAATTCAAATTGCGAAAAAAAATTTAAATAAATCCTTTGTCAAACTTTTTTAGGTTCAAATAGAAGATAATTTAATACTGAAGCCAGATCAATTTGATTTTCTTCAATCGAACATACATTCCTTTTGCTATCACCGGCATCGTTTTCTAATACTAAATAGTAACAAAGAAAATTCAGAAAACGCGCTTCAAGTTTCTGCCCGAGCATTCGATTCTGCTTCATTTGGAATAGCAAATACGTTTGAACGCCTTCTGAACAATGTAAAATGTACCCATCGTTAAAAAGGTTTCCCTAAGGCGAAGTGATCATCGTTTATCACAAACCAAACCTCAAAAACGCGCTGATTACTACGATCTAATTACTGATTTCCGATTAAGATACTTACCCCATAAAGGTATTGCTTTAATTAATACTAAAAAAGAATTTCGTTCCTGTTTTATGGAAAATGTTGCAAATGATAATGATCCCCAAACCCTACCCACCTGCCTATGAAGTAGAATCACATCGACCAAAATCAATTATATTTCTCAAAAAGTTGCTTCCAGACATTGGATCATTAATTTGGACTTAGGAAGTTCACTACAAAATATATCTGCATCATAAACTTTTTGAGAAAATATTAGGTCTAGTAAAAAGTATTCCATTATTTTTGCAATAGATTTCTTTAGCAAGCCACCGTCTTGGACACCTTGGGATTGAGCGGGTGCTGGATTTTGACTGACGCAAACATTAAAAAAAATCAAATAATGATTGACCGCAGACCGTAAATTGACAAATCGGGAGATGCCAGAGGAATGTGCCAAAAGAGACAAAATTTGTAGGCAAACCACTCGTGGATCTTGCACCATGATAACGCGCCGTCGCATGATGCCATCATTATCCGTGAACATTTGGCTAAAAATGAGACGAATACCATTTAATAACCACCTAATTCACCTGTTTCGATTGCGCAGGAGCTAGACGTTGCCAAAAAAAAAAAAAAGAAAGGCTAGATACACAAAGATGCTCTATATATATGTAGAAAGCCCGATTTCCATCTGTGAATATCAGCTGTATCGTAACCAAATCGATCCAATTCTGAAGTGTATGATGATTGGCGATGAATCGAACGAAAACGGTGTTGGTCGAAGAGCAATTAGGTGGCACCACAAACGGTCCCCAAGGCCGGAATGATAACCAGGAAGGTTTTGTTGTGTGTCTGGTGAGATTATCAAGGAATTATACACCATGAGCTGCACCCCAAATTCTAAAATCGGACCTGTAATGTCAACAATCGGACCGTCTAAAGGCGGAAATCGCCCAGTAGCGCTTAGTTTAAGCCAAAAGGAGGAGAATTGTGCTTCAACCGAACAATGCCAGACCACACACATCGATAGAGACTTGCCAGAAACTCTGAGAGCATGGTTGGGAGATTATTATTCACCTCGCATTAAGTGATTACCATTGGTTACTGTTTATGTCGAATTAATTTTCTGGGGAAAAAATGGATCTCAAGAGAAGCCTGTGAAAATCGATAGTCCCAATTTTATGCCAATAAGGACAAGGGTGCCTAAGATATTATCGGACAAAACGCTGCATATATAATATGAATCAGATAGTTCTAACCATGATTACTTTGATGCAAAAAAAAAATGGATTACTTTTTACTACACCTACTAAATACAGGCTAATGGAA